TAATCAGTTACGACAATGCATTAACAAGAAGTAAAGATCCCCCATAAAGACCGAGATTGAGACTGTATCCTAATCTATGCAGCACCCGAATGCTTATGTATTTCTACCTCTGAGAAAGTTTCTCATTATAGATGATACATGAGCAGCCGCCATAGTTTTTCATTCTTTTAGTTCAATCACGATAATACTGAGAGTCATGTTGCTATAGTTATCAACTCTCTAGCACCTTAACTAAATAGATATTGATCGAAGCTCAAGACAAAATAGCAAAATAATGAATCATTAAATACAAAAAGAGTTAACAAAAGAATATCGTCGCTATCATTAAGAAACCTTATGAACCAACAATAACTGATGTACTAATCTACGCGGTCTCGCACACCACTTTGAACAGTAGCTCTCATGTTTTTGCTTTTGATTTTTTCAAAAGGTCTCGTAGGGGATATATTTATTTACTTTAGCATGATGTGACCTTTCTATACAGATAGAAACGTTCATTTAAAAGCATTCACAAAATGATGTCATGGACTTTTACATTTGCATTAAAAGCTTTGAAAAAAAACTACCGAATAACCAATGTGAAATATAAATAAATGAGATGTGTAGTATTTCTCTACACACAACCCACACGTGCGAGCATGAGCCAACCAGGCAGTCTCACACACGCCCTAGGCCTACTAGTCGGGCTAGCTTCTCTAGGTTGTTGCCAGATATCTAGGGAACAGTGATCATCGTAGCGTCATGATAAACTGATGATCATTTCAATCTCATAGTGCACATCACAAGGCAATATCACACACATGACACGTGAAAGGCCATTGAGCATGTGGCATCATACATAAAACTATTCTTACAACTATTCTTACAACCAGACCGATAGTAGAGCCACTTACTTGGTTAACCTAAGCCGAAGCTATTAAAACTTAACTCCAAATAATTTAAACAAGTTAAAAGATAGTTTTACTAACCTTAAACGTTTTGGAACAGTTGAAACTAGTAAGAAATGATCCAATCGTATCAGACTCAAGTCGGATCAGCCGAAATATCGGTCTGGAGCCGTCAAAAGTATATTCTCTGACATACTTCAAACTGTTTAAGTGGTATGAAAGGAAGCAAGACTCATCCCTTTTACAGTGGAGTCCAACTTTCATTTTCTTATTTTTTCTTATAATTTTTTGTTTTACATTTGTTCGTGAAACTCAGTGATTATATCTATTACGCCCTTAGTTAGAGATGGAATACATATAATTAAAAGTTGTAACGTACATCCATCTCGTCATTGAATACCAGTGGTTCTAGGTCGTAGTACTCTTGGAACCACGGAAGCGCACATGCTACATTGGATGCCATGTCCTTAGGGCTCTATGCACTTGCCTCGGTAACTCGGTCCTTCTTTCTAGAAAACAAATGTAATTTATTTTGGATTAGATCGAAAACAATACTATTTCTTATTTGATTTTTTTTAAAAATAAAAGTATTCCTTATTAAAACGTTGTTTCAAGTAAATACATCATTATCGAATCGAGACCTCTCACGTGTAAAGCTAATTTGGAAAATATTAAGGCATAAGAGACGACGAACACCCTTTCGAGAAAAACCTTAGCGAGCCAGTTATTTTGTACTTTCTTACCCTCCAAATTTCTTTTTCCTCCTTAATCTCTTAATTTTTAGGGTTTACCAACTAATTCTTAATCCCGAAGTCAACTTGACTATCAAGATTCTATATGACAAATTTAAAACTGACATGATAGCTTGTACGGTACAGGGACCATTAGGGGTTCACTATTTAATTTCAAATAATGAACTTATCTTGACCAGTAGGGGTATATAGTAATACCTTTATGATTACGAGTTGGTAGAACTAGGGTTGAGCCCTTAAATACACGAACATTACTAGAATCATTTGAGAGCCGTATGGGCATGATTATAGGGTCTCCTATCACTCCTTAATCGTAATCTTGTTCAGATGAGTGAAAGAAACCACACATGTCGAGGAGTTTTTGGCAAATACGATGGTCGTTGTCGCCATCTTTTATGATTGCTACGTTACGCAGCCGACTAGGAAGAGACCAACTAAACCCTTGTAGAACAACATCCATAACAATATGATAAAAAGTAGGAGTTGAAACTTATAAGTATACTGATTAGGATTAGGATTAGGATTAGGATTAGGATTAATAAGAAACATTGATATTGTTATAAAGAATTATGTGGAGCGACAAAGTGGGTAATGGTGCGGCGTTGGGCGCAGTGAAACAGACTGAGACGCCCAATGCATAAGCGTCTGTACACTGCCACTGGCGCCACCGCCAGGCACAGCACAGGCACGGCACAGGCACAGGCACGGCACGGCGCAGCGCAGCGCCTACCATCCATCCACATTTCGTACGCCCCCTTACGCCATTCCCTTCTTATCCCCTCTTTGTCTGCGCCCCTCTCTCTTCAGATTCCCTGCCCCCAATGCTTTTCTTCTCTTCCACTTTTGCCTCTCTCTCTAATTTCTTTCATTTTTTTATTTACAATTATTTTCATAATAATAAATATATATATTTTTCAATTTTTTATTTTTTTGTTTGGACTTTACGAAAAACCCCTTTTTAATTTTTTTTAAATAATAATAATAATAATAAAAACAGATAAAAGAGATAGAAACAGTATTTATAATCTTCATTAAAAAAGACATTCCTTCTTTATTCCTCGATATTATTGCACCTATTAGTATGAGTCATTTAAAATTAATTATCTAAATATTAATATCGAAATTTTTATAAATTAATTAATCAAATTAAAAATTTAAAGGGTATAATTGTAACGAACCATATCGTTTAACTCGTGACATTATTATATTTTTTTTAATATAAATTTATTATTATTATTATAATAATAGTCTTTTTAAAAAATAAATTCCTAGTATAATTTCATAACCATAATTATAATAATAATTATTAAATTTGGAAACAGAAAAATAAACACAAAATATTTCACTTGAGTGCTAACTAACTTCAATATATGGGGAGATGCAAATTAGGAAATGTATATTAAAAAAAATATAAATTCAAACAATTTTATCCAAATAATTTAAATGTAAATGTGTAAAAAAAAAAGAAAAAAAAAGACTATTTAATTATATAATAACTAAAAATATTATAACAATTTATGTATTTGATACCTCCAACTTAAAAATTTTGGTTCCGTAACTCGAGAACCTGACCAATTTAGATTATTCGACGCTCAACTAAAAATTTGGATCGATTTGTGGTTGACGTTTTTTTTACCTGACCAATTTGAAAATAGAGCTATAACCTAAGTCAACTTTACTTTTAAAATTAATATTAAGAATAAGGATGTTTAGCGTCAGTAACCAATATAAGCGATACATTGTGACTTGTAAAAGTTTTATATCTGAGTCTTAGTCAGGGTTGGATTATTGTGAGATCCCACATCGGTTAGAGAGAGGAACAAATCATTCCATGTAAGGGTGTGGAAACCTTTCTCTAGTATACTCATTTTAAAACGCGAGACTGATGGCGATACGTAACGAGCCAAAACAGACAACATTTAACAGCAGTGAACTCGAGGTGATATAAAAGAGAACAATATCTACTAGCACGTGTGTTTGGTTATAGTCACACGCATATTTATAACAATAATAAAAATAAACTTTTTTTTAGTATAAATAAAATAAAAGTTTCCCAAATAAAATTAAAAAAAATTGCAAAAATTCAGAAATCATATTTTATTTTTATTTTTTTTTAGTATCTGCTCTTTGACTTTCATATTTTATTTTTATTTTTATTTAAAAAAGGAGAAATATTCTATTTTAATGCACATTTCACTGCTTAGGATTATGCCTGAAATACTGAAAATACCTAAAAATAACATATATATATATTTATTTATTTATTTATTTATTTATTTTGGAGTATTTTATTAAAGAGTTTAAAAAGAGCAGACCAAAAACTGAAACTGAATAGTCCAAAGTTGAACTTTATTTTAAATTATTATTTATAAAAAAAAAATAAAAAATTTATATTAAAATTTAAGATTTTTTTTTCTATTAATGTTTAAATTCTTATCGATATCATATTTTTATAATACTATCTTTCGAGGTGGAAGGGTTAAATCATGACGTTTATCAATTCTTTAGTGGCTTGGCCACGTACTCGAGATTTTCGATTATTCAATATTAATAGTATATATCAATTAAATGTAATTATTTTCTGTTCCATAAATTTTGCTTTTTCTTTTTTTCAGGTGGGAGTTAGAATTTAATTAAATTGAAATAATTTTTTTTTTCATTTAGTTTTAAAATTAGTTTGAATATTATTAAATTAAAAAATCAATCAATATTTTGGGAAGTAATTAATTTAACAAAAAAGTAAAAAGCAAAAAATTTATTAAATTCCTAATTTTAAAACAAAAACACAAAATTAAACTCGATTAATACACAAAATTAGGAAGTAAATAAATCTCCTTTACTCTAACTCAAAAATCTCAATAAAATTCTTTCCTTTTAATTATTATTATTTAATTATTTATAAATTTTTTATTTTTCTACCTTACATATTACATTAATAACTAAAATTACATCAAATTTTAATATCAAACGTTTATAAGTCCCAATTCATCACTAGCATCAATTACAAACGTTAAATATTCTAATTTTTTTAAAAATAACGTAAAGTTAGATTGTAATCTTATTTTTGAGTTGCCCCGACAACATTATTCATAAACGGACCCGAATTTTGAATTTTAAATTTTTCAAGAGTTATCTAATCAAAATCGAGTCGTATGAAGTTGATGATATAGTTAATGATCGAGGCATATGACTGATTTTTTTGGAGTGAGAGGTGAAAGAAGAGGATAGGAGGAGCGTGTGGGAGTGGGTAAAACAGTTCATCTTTTTTTATCTACCGTTTTTTTTACTGTGCAGTAACAGAGAAAAGTCACTGTTTTACGTCTTGTCATTTGAGAAGGAGAGACAGAAACGATGAGCAATTTATACGTACCCCAATTGGCTTAGGGTTTTCAGGATCCTTCATCTTCTCTCTCCCAATGCCTTCTTAAACCCTAATCACTTCCTCTTTCTCTCATCACAACAACAATGGTGGGTTCATTAATACTTCTTCTTCTTCTTCCTCCTCTTCTCCTTCACCAATTAATCACTTCTAAACCCTATACTCTGTTTCTTCTTCTTGCAGCACTCCCTACCCATCTGGCTCCAAGCGCTCCTCACCCACAAGTTCTTCAACGCCTGTGTTCTTCACGAACACGCCAAAAAGAACGAAAAAAACATCTTCTGTTTCGACTGTTCTCTCGGCATTTGCCCTCACTGCCTCTCCTCCCATTCTTCCCACAAACTCCTCCAGGTCAATTCTCAACCCATTTTCTTCAATACCCATTTCCCTCTTCTTTCTTTCTTAATTCCTTTTTCGTTGTTCTTCAGATTAGGCGTTATGTGTATCACGATGTGATTCGATTGGATGATGCTACTAAACTCATCGACTGCGCTTTTGTTCAAGTATGTTCTTGATTGAGTTTGCAGAAACAGAGTAATTTTATTGTTTATCTTAATTGGGTTTGCAGAAACAGAGTGATTTTATTCTATATCTTAATTGGGTTTGCAGAAACAGAGTAATTTTATTGTACATCTTAATTGGATTTGCAGAAACAGAGTAATTTTATTCTTTATCTTAATTGGGTTTGCAGAAACAGAGTGATTTGTTGTTTATCTTAATTGGGTTTGCAGAAACAGAGTGGTTTGTTGTTTATCTTAATTGGGTTTGCAGAAACAGAGTGGTTTGTTGTTTATCTTAATTGGGTTTGCAGAAACAGAGTGATTTGTTGTTTATCTTAATTGGGTTTGCAGAAACAGAGTAACTTTGTTGTTCATCTTAATTGGATTTGCAGAAACAGAGTAATTTTGTTGTTCATCTTAATTGGGTTTGCAGAAACAGAGTAATTTTGTTGTTTTTGGTTGGTTGATTTAGTCTTACACTACGAATAGTGCGAAAGTGGTGTTTCTGAACCAAAGGCCACAGACCAGAAACTTCCGAGGCTCCTCCGGCAACCTCTGCAGCACCTGCGATAGAAGCCTTCAAGATCCTTATCTCTTTTGCTCTCTTTCCTGCAAGGTTTAATTTCAAAATCCCCTTTGGATTTTCAATCATCTTCTGTTATGAATGTTGGTTTCGTTTCACAGATTGATTATCTAATGAAGACGGAAGGTGGCGTTTCGAGGAATCTTTTGGAGTGTAATTTCTCGGCATGGGACGACGGGCTCATGATGACACCGGACTCTGTTCTCGAACTCGGTGGTTCGAACCAAACCTCCTCCGGTTCCGACGGCGGTGGTGTAGAAGGAGGGAGGAGTGTAGTAGCGTCGACGGCAACGACGGAGTTCGTGAAGAAAAAGAGAAGTAGCTTGACGGCGGCGTATAGGGCAGCGTGCCGGCCGGCTTGCTGGCCAGGGACGATTTCCGAGACGTCTGGGAGTTTATTGAGCCGGAGAAAAGGTACCCCACAGCGGGCCCCACTCTATTGAATTTTTTATTATTATTATTATTATAAGGAGGGGATTTTGGGGACATGGATGGCATTTTGTGTTTCTTGTGGGGGTATTTTTGTAAAGGAGGCTCCTTCTGGCTTCTGAATTAAATTTTATAATTGTTATTTTAATGATCAAAAAGGAAAGAAAAAAAAAAGAGGGAGATGGGTGGGGTTGTATTTTGAGGATCTGACCAAGTTTAATTATTACAACAATATCCATATTCAAAGGGTATTTTGGGTAACTTTTTATTGGAAATTAATTCTCAAAATATGCTTTATTAATTGAATTTAAATCAGTTAGTAAATTATTTGATTCTTAATTTTATGTAATTAATAACTATTTCATTTTAAAAAATATACTAAGAAATTTCTAAAATATTTTAAAACTATCCTTATTTTCTTTCAAAAGTTACCTTTTAATTTTTTTAATCACTTCAAAAATACTTTTATTTATTTACTTTTTTGAAATTTTACTTGTATTCATTTTTTTAAATGCTTTTAAAACTTTTAAAAATATTTTTACCGTTGTTAATACATTATTTCAAAACTATTCTTGAACTTTCTAGAGTAACATTAACATGTTTGAAGATAATCTATGATGTGTCGATAAATGATTTTTGTTTATAGGTTGATATTAATAATTTTTTTGAATATTTTTTATAAAATTAAAAGATGTTAATAAAATTTTATATGGTAGAATTGATAATGAGTTAAGAAGAGAGGAAGAGTGTAACGATTTACACAAGCAACTAAAAGAGGATGCAAGATTATCCATGAGAGAAACCGAGGGACTTGTACTGACGGGGTTTTGGAGTTTCAGTGAAGGTTATGTTGATTTAGGAGTAAAGGAGTGTCGTGGTGCCATTTATATGAACGAGTGGTGGACGAACCGTGACGAATTCTCCCTAAACTCTAAACCCTAAAAACTCTCCGCATAAAATATGTGGAAAATTTCCCGATTTTCATTTTATAAAAAAATAACAAAAATATACTAAAGTTTGATTTACTTTTTTTTTTAATTACTATTTATTTATTTAATTAGTTTTTTTTCCTTTGCGTATATATATATATTTAAAAACTTCACACATAACATGAATTTTCGAGAAATATACTTCAAAAAAAAAAAAAAAAAAA